ACTCTGCGGCTCCAGGAAATGTAGGCTCCATGAACCCCATGACTCCATGTAGTATAATATGTCCATCGTCATATAGATTCGGTTCAGTGATCTCGACACCATTTAAGGAAAAGTTATACACCCCTTCCCATTCAGTGAGTACCAAATAATGTGCAAAGTAACGAGTCTGAAACTTTGTTCCTGCTGGAAGAGCACTGAGGTCTTCGATGGTCAATCTATGCCTAGCCACTTGGTATTCGAGTAGCATGAGAGGTGGCTGACCATATTTAGAGAGAGAGAATGCATGGTCAGGAGCACAAAACATAGTCCAATTGCCGGATTCCGGCAAAAGTGGGTGTGACATTAGGCTTAATGTGAGGGCCACGGCCGAGTATCCTCTTCGAGAAAGAACTAATTGGATGTTGTGATCTATGGGAGCAACAAGCTGTGCGTGTAAGAGGAGAGAGAGGAGCAAGAAGAAAGAAAACTTGGTGGTCATGGTTATTGTGTGGCCTAAACCTTCCAATCAAATAAAACATTTCAGGAGTCTCTCCTAAGTCATATCATGTTGTCATTTCGGAGAAGTCACATCATGTTGATCCCTAATAGGAAACTCTCGATGCCTTTATAGATGCTCACCAATCTTCAACCAAATCAAACCTCCTATGTCAACTACAAATTCATGAAATAATCGCCACTTCAAAGTGTGTTCACAAAAAAAGCATTTGTTATCTAAAAAGAAGCATTGCTTACCTAAAAATGCATGTCATATATGGCTTTGTGTCCTCTCTTTTTAATGCTTAGTTTTTAAGAAATAATTAAAGAATCATATACTACGAGACTTTTTATTTTCAGTACAAAGATGTCACAATTATTTTTACCATTGGATGTGAAATCTAATAGATGGAATTGTGTCAAAACATTGTGTCTAAATAAAGATATATACTCTACCTACTCAAAAGGCATTCTTGTACCTTACTAAAGCCAAATCCTAAACAAAGCCTTACCAGTCCTAAAGCACTTCAATAACAACCTTGATCCAAAAATTTCAGATGTCTTGGATGGGTAGCAAACTAGCAATTGTTTGCTCGCAAGCCGAGTCAAATGATGCAGTGGCAAAATTAAAATTAATTTCGAAACATGTTTCGGATGAATGGTGAATACATGCCTCTCGAAAAAAGGTTGTATTTCTATGTACCAGTATGTACATTTTGAATCTTCAGATAGTAGTGGTTGCATCATCAGATTGCTCCCTCAATTACAAGAACCAAAGGCATACACATAACGCAAATCCCTGAGCTACGATGAGGCTGATTTAAGAACTTCTCTAGCACATGCAACGAATAGGGTTTTTCTTTTAGGGCCCGTTTGGGTCCCTGGAGATACCTTATCTTCGAATTGGCCTGTCATGGGAATAGCAGTGTATGTTGTTTGGATAGCACTCGTAAGAAACTAAGAATATTTTTGTCTACTGTTTAGATTGTCTGAACCATGTGAATTCTTGGAAATTTTTTACTACTATATTTTGTTATTTTTACCTTTTCCTTCAATTTGAAATTCTTACACGCTTCCGTCTATGAGAAAAACGGTTGTTGTAATTTTAGAAAAAAAAAAGAAAAAAGAGGGGAACAGAGCTTTCTAATAGGAGAGAGAGTGATGCCCAACCAAAGCTTCCTTATAGGGTTGGATTTGATCTCAAATTCTTCTCTAACTGGAATACGTGGGTTCTAGATTCCCTCATACAAATCTTTTTTTTCTTAACTTGATGAGGATTTGATCTAGATTTCCTCATTTCAGTAGATCTTTCTTATCTAATTATTTTTTATTATAATTTTCAAAATCCTTATCAAATTCCATATAAAGGATAAAAATCAAAGTTTAGGTAAAAATAAATAGAAATGAAAATTATGTAAGAAAATAATAAAAGACCAAAATATTAACATTTATGGGGTTTTGTGATGCAATCAACCAATAAGCACCACACTTCAGGGCATATGTTGAGGCCTTCAGAAGCATTTTTCAATCCTAGTTTGCTAGGGAATTGGACTTTATAGAGCTTACTCTGCTTTTTGAAATGGGGTCATAATAGCGAACTCAACATTAAATCTAAAAAGTATGCCTACTAGAAGTTAGATAATTTTTCAGAGTGACTTTTAGGACAAGTTTGTCTTAATTTATTTTGTCCAAGGCAAAATATGAAGTTCAAAACTAATTTTAATTCAAACTTTTAATTACATTAGAATTAGGATTATGAAGGGGGTTGAGTTACGGTTTTGGTTCATATTTAACTTAATATTTACAACATTGTTTCTTTGAATTCTTGTGAATTCTACGAAGCCCCTCAAGCTAGTCTTGTTAGCTTCCTTTAATTTCAACTCAATTCATCAATTTTTCTTGGAAATTTTCGTATATTTTTCTAGTAAAAATTTGCATCATGCTTCAATTGCTTGCGTCCACTTAGCAACAAACTCTCACTCTGTCTCTCATAATATATATATATATATATATACATATATATATATATATATATATATATATATAGTAGAGTAGTACGTAGGTAGGTACTATAACGTAAGTACG